TCCTTGCCGCGAACTGTCGCCGCTGGTCACCAATCTCAAGCCACCCATCATTATACGCCGCGGGCCGCGTGGCTTTGGATTCACTGTACACACTATACGCGTCTATTATGGCGACACAGATTTTTATACCATGCATCATTTGGTCATGGCCGTGGACGAGGGCAGTCCCGCGTTTGAGGCTGGTCTGCGACCCGCCGATCTCATCACCCACGTTAACGGCGAGCCCATACAGGGCCTATTCCACACGCAGGTATTGCAGCTGTTGCTCAGCGGTGGCGAGCATGTGACACTGCGTGCCACGCCCTTGGAGCACACCAGCATACAGAGCGGTGGTCGCAAGCGTGACCTCATGCAAATTAAGCTGGCCAAGAAGGGCGTTAATCGCCAGAAGAAGCAAACGAAGCGAGAGCACGACAAGAAGCGCAAAACGTCGCTATTTCGGCGCATAAGCAGCAAACGTGCAAACGCCGAGATGCAACAGGTAGGTTGCGTGGAGCTTAAGAGTATTTCACATATATACATATATATTAATATATTCCATATATATGATTTCAGTTCTCGGCGGGCACTAGTTCACCCACCACGCCATCGGCACGCAATCTATCACCGTTGGACTCTTCGTATCACAGCAGCAGCTGCTGCCAATCGGCAGCTAACTCCCCATCGCAATCAACTTCACCGTCATCCTCGTCACCTAACACGCCCACTGGTTCTAGTGGTAATGGTAATGGCGCAGGCAATGTTAATGCTAATAATCCCGCTAATGCAGCACCCGCCGCTGCCTTGAGCGGGCAGCTGCCACTGCCGCCGGCTAGTCCTGTTGTCTTGCTACCGCATGTGGGCGCCGTTGTAGGCAATAGCGCTACTTCTGTGGGCAATGTGCCAGGTAAGTCGAAGAACCTTAACTCTTAACTCTTAATAACCGTTGGATTAAACGCGCCTTTTCCATTAAGTTTCACCTACTGGCGTTGTGCCGCAGCTATATCAGCGCCCCTCAACGCTACATGGTCTTAAGCACAAGCTGCACGCTGCAGCCACTGGCGCTGGTGGCACGGCTGCTAGCGGCAATGCGGGTGCAGGGTTGAAGACATTGCACACTTCGAGCAGCAATGCTTTACCCAACCGGCGCAAGTCTGTGGGCCATATACCGCTGTCACCTTTGGCGCGAACGCCGTCGCCATCGCCATTGCCGTCGTCGCCAACTCGCTCACCATCTCCGTTGGCCTTTCCACTGGTGGGCCATCAACCTGGCGCCTCCAATACCACGCAGTCGTACAGTCCAGGTAGCACGTTGCCCACGCTGCAGACAGTGGTGAGCGCTAGCAGCAAGAAGGCTGGATTTGCACGAACCAAATCAGCAGAACCGAGCTCGCCACTGTTGCGTCGCGCACTGTCGCCGGATCGACTGCATCCGCGCAGCGCAGAGACAAAAATATCGCCCCTATGCTGCTCACCGCCCATTAAACAGCAAACGCAACATCATCAACATCAGCGCGTTGTGGCGGCCACTTGGCGACCGACTGCTGGTAGTGCTGGAGTTGGAGCTGGTGGAGCACCGCAGCAACAGCAGCAGTCAGGCAACAGCAACAGCACTGAGGAATCTCAAAGACAAACAACTTCGGCCGTAACAACAGCAGTGACTGGTGGAGCAGCGTCAGCTTCAGTTGATAATCAAGCAACGAATAATGGAGCCGTAGCCGGCAACTGTGAGCTCTTGCCACGCATTGCCGAGGAGAAGGATTCGCCTACTAGCATACAGGACAGTAGCAGCGGGTCAGAGATCTTTTTGCCGGCTATTGAGGAGCATGCTGAAGGCGAGACATCATCGCCCACGCAGACGCTGGAGAAGCCATCGCCCAAAGCCGATCAGCCTGACAAGGCCAAGAAGGCCGAAATGGGTAAGTTTTAATTGTAAACGGCACTGGGTCTTATGCTTAAAAAAATATTTTCAATTCTAGGTAAAATAAATGCGTCCAAAAAATCTTCGATTACAACGACTAGGCCAGTAAGCGCCAGTGATGTCCCATTAGCTATGGGAGGAAGGGAGCCATTGGCTTCAGCAACGTCAACCACGGGCAAGGGATCAGTAGCTACGGCAACAACAACAGACGCAACTTCGGCTGCCAAGCAGAAGAAGTAGCGCCATAGAACTGGATTTAGCGTATCTAAATGTTCAGTCTAAATATTTACAAATCGATACGAACGAAGAGTAAGCGAACAAAGTAGCTGCAGGAATTTGATAACTATATTCAAGGGATTGTATTGAAGACAAGCTTAAATGCATGCTTTGGGCAGAACCATATAAAATTAGCAAAAAAAAAATTACTTAGAAAATTGTGGAAACTAGTAGTATGTAGTCTCGTATCTAACAAAATTCCTAATACAAATTGTAAATTAGTAAAAAAAAAGAAAAAAATAGGAGGAGATCGCACTAGAAATGTAAAGGCGGCAGCAGGCAATTATCAATATTGTATTTGTATATAAATGTATAACATTGATAGAATTAAAGTTCAGTAAGAAGAATGGAAACGCCCAAGAAATTTAACGCAACGAGCTGGTAACAGCTGAGTAAAGTAAAGCTAAAGTACGTAAATAACACAAAGCAGCTTGCTCAGTCAAATATTCGAGCGTTTTTTTGCGAATCTATAATCTATGCCGAATTCAATATATATTGTATTAAATAAATGTTATATGTGTGTATTCGAATGTTGATTAACTTATTTAAATATGCATGTTAGGCGCCAACATCACAATTATGCGTTTGTTGTATAGTATGGTCACACTGCTGCCGTTTGAGATTGTAAATGCAATGCACATACGATAACATGTCTATCGATAACACATTTGCCAGCTGTGCAGTTTGTACCTAAATATTATAATTTCACGCCTAGTTTTCAGAAAAATGCTTCCCAAATTAAGAATATCAGCTTTTCTGCTTAAGGTAAGTCGTTTAAATTTTCTCCCAGCCGTATTTGTCATTTTTTTTGCTGATGTACTCTTCAGCGCCTGGAGCGCGTCAAGCTGCAGTGCAGCGGTTGTTTATACGGCGTGTTTTATGGAGAAAGCACCTTGCTACTCTTGAGTTTCAATGTTGAGTCAAGTGTGGGTGAACTGAACTATGAGCATATACAGCACAAATTCCCAGCCGAGCTAGACTTGTGTGGCCTGGTCAAATTTGGCGACTGTACCGATACACAAGCTCATCTAAATGAAGTAATCTCATCGGTGGATATAACGGATAATCCGATATTGCTTCAATGTCAGCTGGGCACACTCGTTGGCTTGCGTGCATCGTTCTTTATACACGGCAAGCTGGAACAAGTGCCGTACGAGGTCATGGAGGCGCCACAACTGTATAACGATTTTTGTTTTACGCGCTTGAAGTGTGGTTTCTTCTTGCACACGGCGCCAACGCCGGAGGCCATAGCCAAGGAGATGCATGCGCTTCGCAAGCGGGTAGCCGATGGAAGTCTGGTGTTTAACGTGCCACAAACGAAGATCTATGTGAGCAGCAACTGTGGAACGCAGCACCAAAGCTTCAACAGCGATTCACTAATTGAAACGCTCATCGCTGAGATTCCCACCCCCACAGAATCCCCAACAACAAGCAACAAAAAGAAAGCTGCTGCTACTGCACCGGAGCTGGCCAAGCATTATGGCGCTGTGGGCTGTGCCTATGATGTGATTAACATTGATGTCTTGCGCTGTCGCACACGGGAGCTTGGAGGAGGCGATGCATCGTCGCATCCAGCGCTAAGCGTTTGCATAACGAATGAGGATTCCAGTAAGCAGCAGGTGCCACTGGAGCTCGAAGCAATGGCAATGCTCTGCAAGAAGACGAAGCTGCTGCGTTTGTATGATGTGCTTATAGAGAGCATTTGCCGCTCGCTGCGTCTGTTCGAACAGTGCCTCACCGAGCGGCTCAACGAGCAAGAGACAGCGGCATCGGAGACGTTGCTACTGTCGCCACGCAGCTATCATTTTTATCCTCAGGAATTTGGACACTTTCTGAGCTGTGCATACTTGGAGCAGCTTAGCGATGACGAACCCAGTGTACAGGAGAAACGCAAGCGGCTGCATCGACAGTTTGCATTGCCCGCTACCCGGCCGTATTTCAGGCGTGCGAATCAGTGTCGCTTCCAAGGTGACATAGACACGACGACCTGGACGCCGCTGCTTAACACACATCTGGGTGTACGGCCCAGCGGAGTGACTGATGGCAAAGAGTATCTTGTGAATGGCAACTATCATTATTATCACTATTTGCAGCAGCAGGTACAGGATAAGGGCTGGGGCTGTGCCTACCGTTCGCTGCAGACGATTTGCTCGTGGTTCCTGCTACAGGGATATACGGAACGTGCGATACCCTCGCATTTGGAAATACAGGAATATTTGCACAAAATAAACGATAAGCCTTCATCATTTGTGGGCTCCTCGCAGTGGATTGGCTCCACTGAGCTGAGCATGTGCTTGCAGGGTTTCCTCAACGTTGATTCCAAAATTTTACACGTTGCTTCTGGTGCCGAGCTCTCCACAATCGCCCCGGAGCTGGCAATGCATTTCCAGACCCAGGGCACACCTGTCATGATTGGCGGTGGCGTCCTCGCTCACACAATTATCGGCGTGGACTACTGTGTGCAGACGGGCCAAGCGAAGTTCTTAATACTTGATCCTCATTACACTGGCGCCGATGATTTATCCACCATACAGATAAAGGGCTGGTGCGGCTGGAAGAGCGTGGACTTTTGGGACAAGAAGAGCTATTATAATCTCTGTATGCCACAGCGGCCCATTTTATATTAAACGTTCCAATTATGCATTTAAGTACGATGTTATGTCAAGCTTTAATGTTTCGTGTTGTTTATGAATTTAATGTATGTACTGTATTTTATATATCTATATATATAATGTGTATAACTGGAGCAAATAATGTTTATTATCTTTCACCATCTTTAATGAAACTTTAGCACAGGTTGATGGGAAAGCCACAGTTAGAAAGGAATATAATTTTATATATTAATGGAGGTATACCTTTTTATTACAGAACGTGTCCACAGTTGCCTTTATTCAAAGAATAACAATTCAAATTTGTGCTTGTTACAAAAGGGCAACTGTTGAGAACGTTATCAGCTTATATATTAAATTAAATGAGTTAGCTTAAATACGAAGTATAGTAATTCGGCGCTAGCCGCCGCTTTTTGAGTACTTCTTCCAGTAGCGCTTGACATCGTCGTGACCGTTCTTCTGTACCACCATGGTGCGGGTGCGTTCATTTTGCCACACCAGCATGTTTATGGATTGTGCGTAGTCGCGCAGTGTTACAAAGTCGTTTTGTGACAGGAACTGATTGTAAACAACGCCCTCTGTGTATGTGAAACGATTGCGTTCCATTTCCCAGAGTTTGATTTGGTCTACAATTGTGGGCGGCAGGCAGGACTTTGATTGAATGGCTGATTCGACCAGCTTCATGTTAGGATGTGCATACTGTTCCAAATAACTGACGATTTGCTCGGCCGTAATGCCGCCACGCAGTGCTTGGCGCACAGAGTCGCGTGTGAGGACACCCACAACGAGATTGGGAAAGCGATAGAGTAGCTCGGTAAAAAGACCGAGCACAGCCACCTGCAGCTGTGAATCTGTGTAGGCATAAACGCGGTAATTGGTTTCCACCACGATGTAACCCCTTTCCTGCATGCGCTCCTCATCCGCCGATGTGGAAGCCTGTGCTGCATCCTTGTTCGTTACATTCAGGGCAAGTCGTGTGGGATAAAAGCGACCCTCCTTGCGTTTCCGTTGAAACACCAGTCCGAACTCACGTAGATGCTGCAAAAACGTCAACATCTGGTTGTTCATGCCCTCCGAGCTGTAGTCGCGTCCCAGCGTCGAGAAACTTAATTGAAACAGCATGGACAGGCACTCAGGCAGGCAGATGCCGCGCTCCTCGCATGTCTCCAAATACTGCAGCATAAAATGCCAGACCTGAGCGCGTGTGTCCAGCAACAAAAACTGAAATCCCTGACGTGTAATGGTGATACCATCGCGCTCGTCGCGCTTCATAAGATTCGCATGTAAAAGAATGCGCACTGCATCTGGACTGATCGCCTCGGCATCGGTGCCGCCGCGGCTGCCCGTGCCCACCATATAGTGCAGCACACAGCGCCAGCGGGACATGGCATACGAGTCCAGAAACGCAATGTCACGCGGCTTGGAGTCCCTATCCAGCGTATTGGTCATTGCCCAGGGCTTGCCGCCGCCCAGTAGCACCTGACGAACGCTCTTTTTAAACGTGGGTGACAGCTCCCAAGCAGCCAGGCCGCCTGGTATGGCCGTGACGCGCCAGACACACAAAGCAGTCAGGCAGCTGGTGGCCTCCATTTGTTCCCTGCAAAGGATATGTGAATTCAGCTTGTTGCTTGGACCGGATATTTGCATTACTTACTTGGCAACGCGTTGTGCACCCCATGACGTGACAACGGCTTGTGGCACTGGCTGATCTATGAACAGTATGCGAATTACAAACTGTCTTGCGATTTCGGGCAACTCGCGATAGACCGCCAGGCAAATGGGTGGATAATTGTAGAGCTTCTCTAGCGTCTCGGGTGTTTGACGGCTGCGCAGATATTCCTGAAAGTTCTTGCACTCCAAATTCTCTGGACTCTGTACTAGGGGGGATATAGCAGCGCTGCTGCTCGCATAACGGCCGGATTTTGTATCGGCCATGGCACGATGCACCCGAATTTGTTTAACAATTTCGCGTCTGCATGTAGGCTGATATCGTGCCGGTATATCGATATATTTAACTTAAACTTGGACATGCGATATTATTTGGCCTGCGATATTTATGATATCGATACTGTGCACATGTATCGCACATTTTTCTAAAAATAGATTTTTGTGTAAAGTTACAAGTACAATATTGCTAAATTTGCAATAAATTTCGATCGTTACAATTTTTATTAGGTATTTTAGTATAAACATTGACTTACGTTGCGTGAACAGCGTACCATTCACAGTCTCGTAGCGATAGTTATCTATTGTGAATGCGCATATTAGTCGATAACACTCAGCTGTTTTTACCACCGCGTGTTTTGTAAAATTCCTAGGCTTAAAATTGTAAAAATGAGTGATGATGAAGAGCAATATAACCCGGCGGCGCACAAGAAGCTACTACAGGCCATAGGCAATCTGGGCAATGTGCAACATATACGCAAATCGACACGCGACGAGCGCCAGCCCCAACAAGATGAATTTCGCCTGTTTAAGAGTGCCAAAACTACACAGCACGCTCCTAAGGCTGTTGGCCTGAACGATTTGGTCCAGATATTGCGCACTTCCAAGCACATCGAAACGGGCAAGAAGCTAAAGAATGTGCATAGCACCAAAAAGGTGCTCGAGAAACCGCTAGAAAAGCCGGCAGCCGATCGCATCAAACGGACTATTGGCTACGAGGGTGTAAAGAAGAAACTTGGTCGCTGGGATGCCGTCGTGGCCAAACAGCGTTCCGCCGAGACGCAGGTGAGTGAAAAGATGGATTTTATAAGAATACTTGTGCTTCACACGAACCCTTTCAGATATTTCCCAAACCCTCGGAAACGATTTACGTAAATACAGCGGCACACGCAAAAGCTCTACAGACGAGCATCAAGTCCGATTTGGGCAAGGAGCTGGAAGCGAGCAACAAGAAGTTGCGTGAGCTACGCAAAGCCCAAATTGGTGACAACACCGATGAGAAGGCATTAGCCCAACAAGAACGGGAGATGCTGCAGAAGAAAATGACCCGCGATGAGCTCTATGCGCGTCGCCGGGAGCTGGCCTATTTAAAGATGCGCGAGTCTCAAAAGTCGGCAAAAGCGCGTATGCAGAACAAAATCAAGTCCAAGAAATACCATAAGCTGCAGAAACGGCAAAAGATTTTGGAGCAAATGAAGGAGTTCGAGCTGCTGCAAAAGACCAATCCTGAGGCTGCGCTAGAGAAGCTAGATGCTTTGGAAAAGAGCCGCGTCATGGAACGCGCCAGTCTGCGGCACAAAAACACCGGCACCTGGGCCAAGAATCTACAGGTGCGCGCCAAATATGATAAGGATGTACGCAAAGATCTTGCGGAACAATTGGCTGTTAGTCGGCAGTTGACCGAGAAAAAATTGGATACAGATAGTGAGGATGAGCAAGCCCCCAAAAAAATGGAAACAAATGAGCAAGAAGATTACGATCCAATGAATCCCTGGATGAAAGCTAAATCAGCGGTACAGGCGGCACCCCAACAATCCGCCGAAGAGAAATCTAACTGGCGCAAGTATTGGACAGAGCGCAATGAAAATGAAAAGCTTCTGGCTGAGCATTGTGCAGAAATTAAGGAAGTTGAGAAGCAGCAGAAGGTTCAGAAAGCCAAAAAGCAGCCCTTGGAAAAGCCTATAAAAAAGAAAAAGAAACCCAAGGCGGTTGTGGAAAATGGCTGGCTGGTAGAGGAAGTTGAAACTCCAGTAAAAGTTAAATCAATCGATGAAATTTTTGAACAATATGACGATAATATACACGATAGGATTAGTAAAAAGCTAGCAAAACTTAGAAAACAAGCAGAAAAGCTTAAGGAGTCCACTAAGAAATCCAAAAAGCCGAAAAAGGAACGAGATGAACTGAAAAACCTGAAGGATTTAACGTTTAAGAAGGCTAAACAGCGTGTTGAAATCGACGAGCCGCTCAATCAAGAGGAAATAACACCAAAGCTGGCTGCACAAACTGTTGGCGACTTGACCAAGTCGGACGAAAAGCCAACGGAAACCGCACCGACAACTGTTAGTGCCATCGATCCTAGAAATGTCACCACCATCACGTGGAAGCAAACTATGCGCAGCTCGGATGCGATGAACAATGCACTCACGGAAGACGATGCGGCCGAATATGATGAAGCGGATGCTGACGCCGAGCGCCAATTGACCATTAGTCAAGCCTTTGAGGATGATGATATTATAGCTGATTTTAACAAGGACAAGACAAAAGACTCTGAGGTCAAGAACAACGAACTGCAGCTGGCTATGCCCGGTTGGGGCTCTTGGGCGGGCGCTGGCATATCCCAGGAAGCTATCAATAGGCGCAACAAGCGACTTTTACTTAAATTGGCGGCGCCGGAAAAGCGTCGCGACGACAACAAGGATAATCTGTATATCAATGAAACGACAAGCAAACAAGCGCGTGGCCACATGGTATCCAGCATACCGTTCCCCTTCAAATCCCTGGCCGACTATGAGGCCAGCATACGTGCGCCCATTGGACGTAATTTTGTGCCGGAAACAGCATTCCGTATGCTAACACGCCCGGCGATCATCACGCGCAAGGGTCAAGTTATCGAGCCCATGGATGAGAGTGAATTGCTCAAACCAGACCGCCGGCTGCGACACATTGTGGACAGAAGAATAAAGCGTTTGCAAGAAGCGGGCAAAGCGAAGTAAGGTGAGGTAGCGTAGTGTACAATAAAAATATGTAAAGCAAATACGTTATCTAAAAAGAAGAAAAGATAAATCTAATGGTCTTTTGTTTTTGAATATCCCTACTAGCTGTTAAAGGCGTATTTTTATACCCTGAACCCATTAAAAATGGGTATAAGGGTATATTGTATTTGAGCAAAATCCAAATGTATGTAACAGGCAGAAGGAAGCATCTCCGACCCCATAAAGTGTATTTATTCTTGATCAGCATCAATAGCCGAGTCGATCTAGCCATGTCCATCTGTCTGTCCATCCGTCCGTCCGTATGTATGAACGCAAGGATATCAGAACCTATAAGAGCTAGAGACTTGACATAGTTGTAGATGCTCCTAGTTCCCGTGCAAAACGAGTTTGTTTCCGATAATCAATAACTTACTCCGTATCCGAGCAATCGATATAAATCGATATCAATATCCTGTTTTTTGGGCAATTTTGGTAAATAATTAGAGCTAGAGTCACCAAACTTGACATATAGCTTCTAAAATGGAATATATATATGCATTTGATGTTGGAAGAAGAGGGTTTAGGGTATCCCCTATTCGGGAGCTCCCGACTAGAACCTCTTACTTGTTTCTATAAGCATTTATATTTTTCTTTTCTCGGGTGTCTTAAGTCCCATATTGTAATACCTTTCAGAGCTCGTAGAAATATCGATTTGCATTTAAAAATTATTCTAAAATTTGACCATGTTCGACAAAATTGGAAACTCACAATTATTGGTTCAGAAATCAAAAATTGTTTGATTCCAATCTATTCCATAATTTTCCCGAAGTCCAAAATATCATGTTTTTATAGGATCGTATTGTAATTATTAGAGGTTTGGAAAAATATTGAAAGGTAATTGCCAGATTTTTCGCAAAAATCTGTTGCATACTCTTAGGAACTTAAAAATGTTTGGTTCACTTTATGAAGACGGTTCAAGCAGGGGGAACTGCGATGATCTTTGGGCATTTGGAACAGTTTCGAAGCTTTAGGTTCACTTTTGATCTGAAGTAAAAAGCATTTTGTGGTTCCAGTCTTTAGATTTTCACAAGCACAAAAAGGAAGTTCTTTTTGAGAAATTTTAAATTTAAAGTGTAAAAAGGCAACTTTGTTGTAAACAAATTAGTTTTTCTTTATTTTTTATTTTCGATTGGAAGCTGCATCAGTTGCAGTCTAAACTATTTGACATTTAGATGTATAATTTACACATATATGTATATGAAATTTTTATTTATTTTTTTTCTTTTATTACTGTTTAATTGCTTACGTGCTTGCAATTTGTCTATTGCTTTAGATGGTTTTTTTTTTTTTATTTTTTATTATTATTTTGCTGCATGTAGCTACAATTTCGCTAATAGTATATTTTAATAATAGTATGTATGTGTATATTTATACTCTTGCATAATACTTTGCTTTGCCATTTCACATACGCATGCACACGAAGCAAAAGTTAAAGAACTAGCAAAAAACAAAAGTTCTTAATTCTTAGCATTAAAAACTACTTAACATAAACGGCTCACATCAAATTGGATTTCATTTTTAGTTTAATTTGAAACATTCATGTACTGAGTTTCAATTCCGAAAAGAAAAGCTATTCTTGAAATTGTTTTTTTTTTTGTTTTTGTTGGAAATTCTCAAAGTTTGGTTTCCAAATTGAAATTCAGAACATGTTGATCAACTGTAAGACATGTAAACATATACATGCATCGTATAATGTGTGTACTTTATTTTTGTGTATGCTTTTTACTGCTGGCTTAGGAAAATGCCACGACTTTGAGTCGTATTTTCTTCTATTTTTTTTGTTGAATCTTCTCTTTTTTCAATTATAGAGCTCATAGAATTGAACCCTGCTTTGCATTATTTAAAAGTTATGTTTTGAACTTGTTCTACTAAAATGCTAATAAAAGACACTTTTGCCAGGCATTTCAAAATTGCTAATTGTTTGATTCTTCCCCATTAACACGTACATAACCCCCCCCTACCCAACCCGTCCCGCCCAATACCCTGCCCCAAATCCCAACCCCATTTAGTTTTGGTAAGCTTAACGGCTGGCAATTGTATATTGTAATACCCTGTTTTCCTTGCCGCAGCGGCTGTCTACATTAGCGTACAGCACTTGCGACTGGTGCTGGTGCTGTCGCTGACCACATCGCCAGTGTTGCCACTAAATTTATTAACCGAATTGGCGTTGCCAACTGCGGCTGCTGCTGCTGCTGTTGCTGCCGGCGCAGCTGTATCAAAGTCGAGCAAGCTGGGACTCATTGCGCCCAGTCCCAGGGGCTGGCTGGCGATTGGTCCAGTGCTCAAGTTGTTGTTGTTGTTGTTGTTATTGTTAGCGCTGCTATTGTTGTTGTTGTTGTTGTTGTTGTGATTAACGGAAGTGGCGGCTCCTAAAACAGAACCATTAGTTGTTGTTGTTGTTGTAGAAGTAGTTGTAGAAGCAGTTGCTGCTGTTGTTGTGGATGAGAGCTCGAAATTGTTAAGCACATTGGCGGTGCGCGATAGCGAACGTTGCTTTTTCAAATTAGACAAAGTAACGGCACCCGCATCCATAGCAACATATTGCTGCTGCTGCTGCTGATGTTGCTGATGATGTTGCTGGAGCTGCTGCTGTTGCTGATGATGATGTTGCTGCAACAGCAGCGCATGTTGCTGCAACTGTTGTTGATGTTGCTGGCTATGTTGCTGCTGCTGATGATGCGTGCTGTTTGTGTCTACATGAATTGGTGTTGATGGTGGGTGGTTGGGTGGTTTTGGCGGTTGGTTTTTTTTTTTTTTTGTTGATGATGATGCAGGCAGGCAGAGGCAGACGACACAAAACGAGCGCAACGAGCCGAACACAAAAAATAAACATAAAATCACAAGCAAATGTTATTTAACTTCCATTTTTTTCTCTCTATATAATATACGAATTTTGTATGCCCTATCACCGTTATAAATAGCAGCAGAAGCTGTTTTGTTTAGTTGAAGTTATTGTCTATGTTTGTGTGCGCGTGTGTGTGTGACAGTAGACACAGGTGATTTGATTGTTTAATTTAGTACAAGGACAAAATACGTTTTGTTAGCAGATGAATTTGTTTAGTCACTTTGAAGCTTAGTCTGCGGTACGCTAAGAGTCTTTAAGAGCTTGTTTTTGTATTCTTTAGATAGATAAATCAAATATGAAAACTACATATAAGTCTGAATCAGAAAAAACATCTCTTAACTCTTTATGAAATATTTTAATCTACTAAAGAATCGAATCAAATCAAAACTACGAAACATAGAAAAAATGATTGAAAACCCGTTTTAGAAAAGAAATATAAATAAGTTACGAGTTAACTCTCTAAAAAACACAAACAGAAAGTACTTTGGAATAGAAGCGTTCTTCAAGCTTTCACTTGGAAATTGGAAAACCCTTCGTATCGAACTTGAATTCAAAGCTTTACTGCACTGAAAGTTCTCTAAATTTTTAAGAGTGTAAAATGTGAACTAAATATGTTGCAAAGCATTTTAAGTAAAGAGCTTCAATTAGCAGGAACTAGTTAGTTGCATTTCTATTGTTGGTTAGTTACATATTCTAAAGTAGATTATTTCAATTGTTAATAATGAAGAGCATGCGCTAGTCGTTGCAACTGTCAGACAGCTGTCAGCATGCTTTTTATCTCGAGTTCGTTTTAGTAGAGTCGTTAAACACACATTAGACAGTGACATTTGACACAAGGGGAAGCATTTAAGCGGCGCTGCTTGATTGCAGCAAGCGCTGGTGTTGGTTGCGGGTGTGAGTGTGTGTGTGTGGTGTGAGTGTGGTGGGTGCAAGTGTCAGGTTTGAGGTGTTTGTGATACTCACCCACTAGCACTGTGACCTGCACGTTGATCTTGCCATTGCCCGCCGCCTTGGATGATTGAATCTGCACCGCCTCGGCGCTGGCGGCGGTGCCCTTGTCAGTCAGGATGACAGCGGCCGCAGAGGTGGCACGTTGCAGCTCACCGACGACGGCATCGCCAGCCTTGAGCAGCAGCTGTTCGTCGTTCTCGCGTCCGTCGGGCGGACGACGCGGCAGATAGGAATGTGTCGTTGTGAGCGTTATGTTGTCAACCGCATCCGCGGATTTGGAGTGTGACAGCAATTGGCTGCTCAGGCTGCCAGTGGAGGGGCGTTTCTCGGCATTGTTGTTGTTGTTGCTGTTGCTGCTGACGTTGTTGTTGCCGCCGCTGCTGCTGGTCGTGTGATAGCCATAGCCATTGGGCAGCTCGGCAGCCGCTGGCGCCGTTGTGGAGTTCGTGTCGGTGGCCTCCTGCGCCTGCAGACGCAGACGAGCCTCTTCCACGGCATCCTTTTTGGTTGTAAGCGTTTTGTCGCGCAGGCTGGTGCGACGCACCGATTGGGCTCTGAGGAGAAAGAGAGTCGGTATAAGCTAAGAATTGGATGTGATTCTCTTTTTATCCACCTGGTATTGTTGCTCTGCGAGCGTCGAACGCGCCTTCGTTGCGCCTCCGCCAGTCGTTTGCTCTCCTGCTCCGTTTTCAGCTGCTCGATGCGTTCACGTATCTCTGGATCCTCGCAGATATCTAAAAAGAGATGCCGAATTGTAGTGTACATAGTGTGTAGTGTAGTTAACCTACCCGAAGGCGTTTCGTCGTCCTTGTTGCGCACATTCAGATCAGCACCACATTGCGCCAACATCTCCAGAACTTCGAGCTGTGGAGAGGTTGGAGAGTGAAAGCAGACTCTTAGTTGCCATGGATAGACAGACGGTTTACTTACGTGACCCCAACAAGCTGCCGCATGCACTGGCGTCCACAGATCCTTGTCCATGGCATCCACATTGACATGCTGCTCCAGCAGAAACTCCACCACGCGCACATAGCCATTGGCAGAAGCTATGTGCAGCTGCAAGCGAGACAGAGGGGGAGAAAGCTTAGTTGTGCACAACAAATGCGTGTGAGTGTGTGTGACTAACCGGTGTGGCGCCTTGATAGTCTGGCTCCTCCAGATCAGCACCGGTGCGCGCCAGCTCCATTAGATCCTTGAGCATGACCCGTTCCGTGGAGGAGCGCGTCTCATCGATCAGCTCCTGGGTGACGCCGCGCTGCGCCATCTCGCCCTCAATAAAGTCGAGGGTATTCTCATCGTCGCACAAATCGTACGGCATATTGCCGTCCGTGTTCACGGCCAACAGATTGGCATTGTGCCGTATGAGTATGCGCACCAGCTCCAAGTGGCCGCAGGTGGCCGCCGCATGCAGCGGCGTCCATTTATCACTGTCCTGCGCGTCCACATTGGCCCCGTAGTCGAGCAGCAGCCGCAGCATGTCCACGTTGTTATCGATGCAGCACTGATGCAGCGCCGTCAGCCCATCCTCGTTGGCCGCATCCGGCGTGATGCCGTGCTGCAGCAGGGCAGCCACCTCGGGCATATCGTTCCGGGACGCAGCCTCCAATAGCACCACGCTGTTCTCAAAGGATATGTGCCGCCTGCCGCTCAAGGTGCCCGTGCCGTTGGCATGCCGGAAGTGATGGGTGGTATCGCCAGCGGCGCCGTTTAATATGCTGCTAACCGTGCCGCCGCCGCCGCCGCCGCTCCCGCTGCCCGTTTGACCCTTGGCCCGTTGCAGTTTCAGCCATTCCTTCTCCTTCTGCCGGGCCAGCTTCAGCTGCTGAGCACGTCGCCTAAGTCAGAGAGAGAGAGGGAGAGAGAGAGACTTTGGTTAGTTTAAAACTATTAAAGTTTCTTAAAGCTTTTTTTAAGCACATTTCCAGCTGTTCTCTCTACAGTATTTACTTGCTCCTATATGATTACAACAACACATTCTTTCGGGCTGCAGTGCAACTTGGTTAAAACCAATCAAAACTTGGCTTACAACTTTTCACTTCTAATGGCAAACTTTACGGTCGCCCGTAGAAACCGTGAGCTCAAGTTTAAATAACAAGAAGATGTCTTAAATGAAACGAGAATTTAATTGTTGTCAGACAAAAACCTGCAATCAAATGTGCGTGACTCGTAATTTTAATTGCTTGCAATAATTCGGAGTCTTTGGCCTTGGGCTAAATTGACTTTGGCTCACACGTGAATTGTCATCAAAGTACGTACCATTTCGAATTCTAGTTCTTGGCTCAAATTAATAGAAAACAGTTTGAACATCTGTTTTATTTTTCTATTGCTCTTAAGCAAATATGTGAGTCGATGTGCTTTGAAACTGTGTTGGGAATAAGTTTTGCTTAAAGATCTCAACGCAAACGAGCTCTACGTTCTATAAAAAATATATTGATATAAATTTAGTTGGCGTCTTTATAAATGAATTGTATATTTATCCTTTAGTAAACATTTCCTAGTTGTTCCTTTCTCTTCGTTAAATTCATCTCTATTTTCTTTTAATTTTAAAATTTTTCTCAAAATTAAAATTGTCATTTTTATTAATCTTTCCCATTTGCAAACTACTTTCTCCTTTTTAATAATTTATAAAAATTAAAGTAAGTCACAGAAAGTAAGAATATCTTCGGCACGTCGAAGTTTTAATACCCTTGTGGACTTTTGCCTTGCAGTTTTGCAGATAAGTGAGTATAGTGAAGCTCGTAAGGCTGATTTTGATAAAAATATCTTGAAAAAACAGAATATTTTGCATAAAAAAACTATTTTTTCGATAGAATTCTTCCTATCCTAGATCTAGTAGGGGGATATTGCAATGGTTAAGAAAAAAACATTCCATATAAGAACCTACTTTTCGACCGATTGTTTCTATGAGACCTTTATGATATAGTCATGCAATCCGACTGGTTCCGACATATTTACTGCCTGCAACAATGGGAGAGACTAGTTTGCATAGAAACAGACAGACAGTCCGACAGACGGATAGATATCGCTATATCAATCTATATATACTTTACGGGTTCGGAGATATATCCTTATATGCGTAGCACATTTCTATAAAACAATGAATAAATATATGTCTATATACTCTTTTTGTATATGGAAATTTTATAAATTTTAGAATACAAACAGAAAAGTTATTCAAGAATGAATTTTCACTGGCCTTTGACTAGGAGAAGAATTGAAATTAATATAGGGTATCTCCAACTAGGGCAGCCCCAACTAGAGGAGTTTCCACTTGATTTAAAAAATGTTTTCCAATGTGGACAGCTATCTAAAACAAAGTGTGACCGTTCTAGCTAAGTACTTAGCATACGTATTTGAATATCTGCAGCAATGTTTATCAATGAAATTCTCAAGAGTTGCGTGAAATTTCACACCCGACCGAGTTGCAACTTGGTTAACTAAGATTCCACGTTAGGCCTACTTACAGTCTGGCCAGCTGGAGTCTCTCGTGGGTTGGCAAGCTCTCGACCGTCTGCATTTCGGCCACCAGGTCGGCGTGCTCCATTTTGAGCTGTTTCGCATAGCTGGCATCCTCCTGGCTTTTGCGCTGTATCAGAATGCCTTTGATCATCTTGTCGCCGCTTGCTGATATGTTGTGGAATTAGTAGCAGTTATTTTTCACAGGCTTGGCAACTCTGTTGCTGATTGCCCAGTGTTGTTGTTGTTGTTCTTAAACTCCTTGTTGTTGTTGCGGTTGTTGTACGTCTTCTTCTTCGCTTGCATGCAAATTGTAATTTGCATTTTTGAGTTTGATTCTCGTTTGTTGTGTTGTGTCTCTTGCGTCTGGATTTTTGTAATCATTGGAGCAGCTGTTGCCGCTGCCGCTGCTGCATCAACTATTATTAATAATATTATTGTTATTATTATGATGATTGCAGTTGTTGATGTTGCAGCCACGCTGCAGCCGTTGCAGCTCTCATGGCAGCAGCCTCGTTGGCCAGTGTTGTCACCTTGTTATTATACTCGTGCCAGTGTTTACTTTTGATTTTAATACTTTTGTGCTTTTCACTGCCTGGAATATACAAGAGAAAAACGTAGGTTAATCCACAAAATGTATGATGCATTAGGGTCCTTTTCTCTTTTTCAATCGAGAATTGGAACAAAATAAAGTAGAAAATATCCAAAATATCCTTAAAGCACCATCATAAGGTTTCCCCTTGAATTCCGCCAAAAATGGCGAAACACATCTCAGAATTGATTCTAAGAATTGACAGTAAGCCCGAAACGTCACCCATTCAGTTTTTAATCCCCATTTTCAACAAGGAGGAATGGATTTTCTGAAAATTTGAGGACAGCCTTCAAATGAATTTAAGCAATAATCAAAATGAGTTTAAGGCCAATCGGATGGTAAAGAAAAAAGTTTAATACAAAAGATTTTCGTGATTTTTCCACGCTTGCAGGTGGAATTTCACAAAACCTCGTCATTCAGTTAATCAGTTAGTTAGTCAGTCAATCAGTCAGACAGTCAATCAGTCAGTTAGTCAGTCAATCAGTCAGTCAGTTAATCAGTCATTTAGTCAGTCAATCAGTCAGTAAATCAGTTAGTTAGTCAGTCAATCAGTCAGTCATTTAGTCAGTCAGTCAATCAATCATTCAGTCAATCAGTCAGTCAGTCAGTCAGAACACACATCTTGAGAGAGATGACATTATTTTTGCTCAACTTGTATCTGGCTATAACTTAAGCAAGTGCGAATGTTAAAATACTTCAGATGCATTTTCAGGGCATCTTCCAATCAAGAACGTCGAGCTAGAGTATTTGGAGATGTTTATATTTTCTTTGTTGGTTCTAGGAAAGTGCCTTCTGAGTTATGGTGAGGTTTAACTGGTTAACAGCAAACTAAAATGCATAAGGTCAAAATCCAATTGCATGATAACATTTTCGCAGTAAGCAAGATAAATTGATGCTGCCACCAGACTGGCCACCAGGGATGGCGCAGGATGGGGATGAGTAGCTATGGCAACAGTCGTGGCAATTGTGCTAATGGAACGGCTATCAACTAACGCACAAACGGACAAACTAGATACACTTCCCTGCTATTTTTTTTGGGTGCACTGAAGTGTGTGAATAATGTGTGCCTGTGTGTGTGTGTGTCTGCATGTCCTTGGCTTCCGCTGGCTGGTTCAATAGCCAAACCAAGTTGGGCAACGGTATTTGGTGCATGTCGGGTTGAGTTTGTTTGAGTTGGTAGCCCAGCTTGAAGACGGTCTCCGCTGGCCTGCCTCTGCCCCACGTGGCATGTGGCACGTTGCCGCACTCTGTGGTTGCTGGCAAAGGGCATTTTTAAGCAACAGCTGAAAAGCGCCTTAAACAACTTTCAATTCTCAGCTGCCAACTCCATTGGAGTTGCTCATTTGCTATGCTCTCTCATTCGGATGCCTCTGTAAGTCCTTAAATAATCAGTAAAGTGCGTGTACGTGTTTGTGTAAGGATTTGTGGGCAAATGTAGCTGCAGTGCATAAACTTCATGAATATACATAAAAATTGCACTTAGATGTGCTCGGGAATAATTTCAGATTTAATCTGCTTTTAAAAACTGTTGCAGAAAAAAGCAAAATGAAAATAAAACAAGCCGGGCGCCGACTATGCATACCCTTGCTGATATTTCTCAGGGATAACAAGTCATAAGCAAACGTTTTTTTAGTCCTAAAAGATTATCTTCATTAAATGTTACCCTTCTACGCGATTCTCATTCATTCATACAGCTCTTGCAAGTCTATATGCCTTGATAGTAAATGAAGTTTAATGTTAAAAAGTTTATTTTCGCAATCCCTTAAGCCATTTTAGTGAATGTGTGTACGTATTTATGTGCGAGGGTGTGTATGTATGCGTGTGGGTGTGTATCTATGAGCGTATGTATGTGTGCATGTATGAAGCAAAAGCAGCTTATGTTTATATATTATATTATTATATTTTTAGAACGCCCTTCTATGCGATTCCCATGAATTCAAGAAAGCACAGCAGGTTTTCGTGCTTTGCTTTTAAGTGTTACCAAAGTCTCTATCTCTTTATCTATCTCTCTCTATCTCTATAATCTCTATTTATCTCTCCCTCCCTCTTTATCTCTCTCTCTCTCTCTCTCTCTCTCTCTCTCTTTCTCTCTCTTTCTCTCTCTCTCTTTCTCTGTACATTTTTGTCTTTCTCTCTCTCTCCCGTTATCCTTCTCTCTCTTTTCCCATTATAAATGCCAGCTTATTTTAATCCGCTTTTTTATTTTTTCAGGAATGTGTACATTCCACATCGTCGCTCTCCCACAACAAGGTGTCAATAAAATAAACGTGCTTGTGCAGGAATTTTCGGGTAAGTACATATTTATTTATATATAAATAAGAAAAGATGTTAAGGCCATGCAGACCTGAGCATGGCTTATCTCCTACATTACATAATACACATTCCCCCAGTATGCTCGACTTAAGTAGATACCTATTTTTATTGCCTGCAGGCTATGCAAAATACAAGCAATTATCCTGCACACATTGGAATGTTTAATTAAACGTAAAGCATTTCTTCATGCACATGGCTAACTATTTTTGCCATTTGATCGGGGCATAGCTGAACTCATTTAAAAATCAGTTGTATCTCATGGGAACGGGGGGCGAAGTGCTTATGATATTCTCATTCGGCTCGTCTGTGTATGCCACATGTGGCAGAGTCCCTTGGCTCGTGCTTTTTGCGGCATGGTGTGGCTGTTGCGTTCATGTAAAAGTTTGCCCGTTAAACCCAAAACAAACTCAAATTGGCACAAAGCGCACCTGTGACCCTTTTTTGCTCACTCTCTCTCTCTCTCTCTTTCTCTCTGCTTTCTTTTGTTAGCCAGAGGGAGACGAGGAAGGGCAGCGCGGACAATCAGCACTCGAATTTAATTTGCATGGCCAGCCATCAGCTTTGGCTACATCCACAGCTCCAGTCTGTGTGGCAGGTCCGTCCCCAGAGCTCAGTTGGAACTCGACTTGACTCACGTGCGCTCGTTTTATTTGATTTTGATTTCATTCTTTTTTGGGGCACACAGCAGGCGCAACACCGAAGGCAACAACAAAGAGCTATAATTTACGTTGCCCTGCATTGCTGTGGCACAGTTTTTTGGCCTGGCCAACAACGAATGCAACAATAACAATAGGCCTTTGGTTGCTTTGGCCTCGCCACATGCCGCTTGGCACATGCCACATGCGCCTCTTGGGCAAACGCTTAAAACTAACATCCTTAACCTCACATCCTCATCCTCCCAATCTTCATCCGCATCATTTTCCTGCTCTCATTTTCATTTTCATTCTCATTTCGCTTCCCATTCCCCATCCAAGCCGGGTGCTAATGCACTCAATGCAAGCACATAATTCGCTGCCCTCGAGACCACGAGAGGCATGCAACACTCTGCCCAAAGCCACCCACAGCACATTACCCATGCCAGCCCACTTTCACCACAGTGGCTACCAGTATGAGGACTGGGCTGCTCTTCAAGTTTCTTATATCATATCACATATTTCCACAGAGTTAAGACTTAACATAACGGCAAAAGAGTTGGCGCCAAATAATAACGAGTCTCTGATAGTTAAGTAAAGCTATGTAAAGTGTAAAGAATGCATTCGAACATTTAAGAAGTTCTATCAGAAAAAGGGCCCATACGAGAGTCAAATTTGACTGATTGATTGATTGATTGATTGACGAAACATTGCCTAAACAACTGAAGGTGAGAAGCTAAAAGTTTTCCTTTCAAAAACGTCTGAATGAGGGCAGGACTTGGGCAAAATTGAGACCTACAATCTGGAGTTTGAAAAAAAGCCTAGGAAACTTTCTACTAGAACTTGATTAGGGGTTAAGTAGAGCAAACAGTTTGATGCGGCACAACGAAGATAAAATACGCTTGCAGCTCTGCCGCATGTTTTAAGACTTTTCTCTTGCTGCTGCATTTGAACCGGCGACTGCTAGCCTGTTAGTTCAACGCTCAAGTAACTAAGACAATCAGGCAAATCTTTTCCTTTTCCGTTCCTTCTTTCCATAGGTATTGTATTATATAAAGATTATAAGGACTTTAACTAATGGGGCTCGACTTATAATAATAGTAAAAATGGCTTAAACGTTTTATCCTTGTGAAAAATATGCAGCTTTGTTTAACGTGCCTGCCACTGTGCCAGCCATAACGGCACTCATTAGAGGGTCTTGGCTCGAGACCCGATCCGAACCAAGCCCCAACCCCCCTAACGCCAGCCGCCTGAAGGTGTTGCTGGCTTGGCCTGTTGTGGCTTGGCCCACTTGCAACTGTTACTGTTGTTGTTGTTGTTGCTGGTGTTGCTGGTGTTGGACTCATGTTGCGCATTGCGCCTGTCGAGAGCCATTCATTTTTGCGCGTCCCGCTTGCGTCTGCTCCGTTTGGGCCCGACGGTGTTCAGGTCATCATCGCCAGCAGTCGTCATCGTCATCGTCGTCATCCTCGACACTTGCCTTGATGTTGGGCCACTTAGTTTGAATTAAGCTTGAAGAGTTTTAGACGTTGCTTTTTATTTTCTCCTATATTTTTTTTGCGGTCCTTGTTGACCGTTTTTTATCTTCTATACTAATGCGTTTATTCCATAAATTATTCGCTCTTGGCTTACATTATATTTTTGTGCTGCATAAATCTAGAGCTCAGACCAGCAGCAATATTAACAACTTAAGAAGCCAACGCACGCACAAGAGGCAAAGGATGCCAGACAAGGACGAGGATGTGTTCCACACACACAAAGCCTGCCTTCCGCCTCGTCTGACCACAGATAACACGCATAGGCCCTGATGTACGACTGTGGCCTGCCTTGCTTTTTTGGCAGCTCTCGATGTATGCCGCAAATTGAGGCAGAATTGGAGCACAGGCACAGTTTCGGCCAGAGGATGTGCTCCTTTGTATTGATGGACAGGCGAAGGCAGCTGGCAAACTCATAAATGAAAATTGCAATACAATATTCTTGCGTCTCGAAGCGCACAGTCCTCCCGCCTCCACTCCCCCCTCACTCCCTTCCTCCCTCCACTATATATCAAGGACTATC